ATACAGTATATACATATATATACCTAGAACTTGACTTTAAAAATGTCCCTGGAACTTTTTGTATTGTTTTGCATACTGCTCTGCCCATGTGCAGTTTTTTACTAGTTTAAAAAAACATCAGATTGGCTGCCATTATTGTTTTTGTAGGGGAATCATAAAATAACTATTTAGATAGATGTGCAAAATACAGGTATTGTTTACTGTATTAAGGTGAAAGAAAAAGAGGAAACCAATGAGATGTTTAAGGTACAAATTAGGATCTGCACATGATCTTGCTATTAAAAGAGAATATTTTCTGGGATAAAAGCTTCCTTCCTTGCACAAAGCAACATATGTCTTTGATGTTCGATTGTAGACCTTGCGGGAAGTGGACTTCATAGATTTAGTATCATAGGAAACACTGATTCAGTGAGGCCTCTCTCCCTCAAGACCTGGGCTTCAACAGCCATGCTTTGAAAGCCAGTGATCCTGAAGCAGGGTGGTAAATCAGTCCTTGGAACAGAATATCCAAAAGATCTCTATAAGCCCTTGGAGTGTCTACTAAGAGTTTGATCAGGTCAGAGTATTACATCCACTTGGGCCAATTCAAATCTATGAGGGATCAACAGAATGCCCTTCAATTTGCTGCTGCAAAGCAGAGGAGAAAAGAGTTTCATAAGGAGAAAGCAAAGCATAGATAAGGTTTTATTTATCCTATGGAGCCCCTGCTTCTGCCATAGAATCTTTTTACCTGCAGAAAAACCTGCCCAGTCCTTGAGGCCAGGTGGTCCTGGAGGCTAGGGAGTCCTGAAACATTCCTGGACCAGGTGCTGAAGGCTAAGAAGGACTGACTGCCATTTGTCCAACCCTGGGATCTAAATGGCAGGCATGGTTGGAATTTGAAGTTTTGCCCAGAATGAAATCCTTTCTTTTTCTCTTGAGCAGCAAGGTTTCCTACTCCTCCCTGATGGCTGCTCTAAAATTGGATACTGATTGGTTGTCTGGTTGTCATTCTGGATGTTCAGAATTGTAGGGACAACCAAATAATGTGCAGCTGCAAAATGTTGATCAGTAGAAAGGATTCCTCCAGTGTCCAAGTCCCCTGCATCCACAAGGTGTCTAAAACTCATCTCCAGCCTGCCACACTGGCATTGGTGGTGAGGATCCTCTAAGAGATTGGAAGGAAGGATTTCACCAACTTCAGAGCTGGATTACTGAGTCACTAGTCCAAAGACAATCTTCTCTTTGGCGAAAGGTGAATTAGTTCCTCCAGAGAGAGAACCAGTTTGTTGCATGATGATAGTGTGTTAAGTTGTAGGAATCTGTAATGAAACAAATCTGGGAGTAGAGTTTGAAGTTTTCCTAGGAGAAGAAAAACTGTGGCCTGAGCTGTGCCTAGGATAAAACCGAGATAGCAGATACATACAGAATATTGGGGTTTTCTTGGGTGCCAAAAATACATTTCTCTAATGATGTGCGATCATCCTTTTAAATGTTAATACCTCTGTTTACCAGTAACTTTTAAATGTTATTTAGCAACTGAAAATGTTTTTACAAATCAGTTATTCACAGTAGTCCACTGAATAATTCATGATCTTCATGTGCGTTTAACACAACATATTTTAGTATTCACTTCTTCAGGATTTTTAAGATATTATAATAAAATGTGGATTGATTGCTATGGCACACCAGCGCTAGAGGTCCTTCTGCTGCTTGGGGCTGCAGGGAGAATTACGGAGGGGCCCGGCCACCCTGTTCTACTATTAAGTTGCAGCAGGAGGACCTCATGCACATGCGTGTCAAAGCAATCAGGCAACATTTTATATGCTACCTTTAAAATCCTGAAGAAAAATGAGTTGCGTTAAACCACAACCAAATTTGTATATATGTTTTTTAATTGATGAATAACATTTATGAGTTAGTGGTAAACAGGTATTAACATTTAACAGGATGAGAACATGGCATGGCAGAAAATGTCTTTAATGCTTTTATGTATGTATGTTACATGTTGTGACTAAATACATGGATTATACTTTTACATCATTCAAGAAATGTATTTTTAGTGCCCAAGAAAACTCCAATGTTCTCAGTATTCCTGGTGGAATTTCTGGGAATGAAGACTTTTAGGGCCTTGGGATGCAAGGTGGGACAGATGGGCCCCTATTGGTGTAAAAAAATAGGGTTAATAATGGTGCCCAACAGTCTTATCAGCAAGGTAGCTCCCAGAACTCAGCCCACCATGCCTAGTCAAAGTAGGAAAAATAGCTAGCAAAAACAGTTGAAGGTGACAATTCTCCTAGAACACTAGCAAAAATACTGGGAGTGGGAGGGGTTATGTTGTTACTATAGACTGGTCACTTTTTGTTGTTTGTATAGGTGAGAGTATACCCTAAAAGTCTCTGAATTCTGTGTTCTTCGATGAATGAGAAATACTTTTTTTATGTGTATGTACATATAAAGCGACGCTACAGTTGATAATGTGTGAACATTCTATCATCTGATTATGTTTCTGCAATAGTGGTCAAATAGTTGCATTTAAAATCATTCCTTCCATTTTAATATGAAATTATTTTCCAAACATCACTTCTTCTAAGTATTGTAAAAACTTCTGGTTGGATCCTTCAAGCTCTGAAGAATTAATAGATGTGCAATCAGCTAGATGTGTTCTATTGTTAATGGAAATATCTTGTCATCCTAATATCCATTCTTCTCTGCCGAGCAATGTCAGTAAATATATATTGCATGGTGCCATGTGATGAGTATAAATACTGGGATGTGCTGATCGAAGATTGCCTTTAATATCTGTGTTGTGGTGTCAGGTAATGACAGTAAATTTGTGCTCTGTATAGCTATTTAATCACAGGTTCCAGCTGAATCGAGAATCTGTTCCAGACAGTTGCTGTCGATTGCTGAAAGATCAACTCCCGAGACAACACTAGCTATGACACAAAGTTTCCTAGAAGAAAAATGCATTTCGCTTCTGTCCCTCTCAAATGGTAATTGTATCATAGGTACATTTAATTGTATATATATATTTTGTATAAATACAGACATCTGTTTGCATATTTCATATCAGCAATCTAAGAGCTCATGATAACATACTTATGCTGCCCCTAGCTTCATGGAAGAATCAGGGAGTTCCTTTAGATTTTTGTTGTTTTCCTATAATACAATACGCTAAGACTATCATCATATTTGTCGAACATTAAGCTGCAACAATATTTAAGAGGAATAAAATATCATAAAGCTCTACATTTTTTTTCTTAAGATTGTATTGGCCCATAAAGAGTAAGCAACACTGGTAGTATACAAGCAGACACAATCGAAATACACAACGATATTACAATAATACAATTAATTGCAACATATATTTTACAATGAGCTGTTAGATCAGTCCTGGTGAGACAGACACCACACGTTTAATGGAGCATGCTGGCATTCTTCCACATTTGTTACCATGTTTGTATACTGTTCTCACTAAAGAAGCATTATGTTTCAAGTAAGATTGGTCTAGAATTTGCCAGCGAGGTACAATGTTGTATCAGGGTCAAATAGATTGAAGTATCTCTTGTGGCCTTATAAGCTACTGAAAGAAAGTGTATGTTGGAGAGCAGAGCTTCAATTTCGTCCACTCTTGCGCTTTTAAGGTGTGTAGCTTGGGTGATGAGCATGCTGTGAATTACGCATTTAAGAACTTCCTCTTTGGTAGAAGCAGCAGTAAAGTCCGCATGGAGGTCAGCAACAAGCACACACCAACGGTTGTGTTCTCCAGGTGTGAATGGGCCCTTAAGGTAACAAGTGATAATTCTCTTACCAACTACACATATTTGCCTACTCATCTGTTTACTCTTAACCTTGGTCTGAGTCAAGCATTTATACACAAAACATGTTCAAATGCTAAAAACCAGAGAAAAGCAGCTAAGCAAAACTGTAATGGTTACCTGTCAATAGTTACCTGGTTTTCTTTGAACTGACCAAATTCTTTAATACCACAACACAATCCTTCTCACTGCCAGCCATTAAGGCTGGCAGTGACTGATGGGTAAACAGGTCATTCTGTAGCACTACATCAGGTCTTTCCGATTGCAGGCAAAGCTGATTATGTGGGATTAACACTCATTTAAACTGTATTCAATAGCACAGCGTGAACAACCCAAGACTTTGCCGTTTATTGCCATACTGGATGTTTCTTTTCTGATCTATGATTTCCCTGCTAAGACCTTATTACTGGTAAACTCAGCACTGAAATTTCAGCAGTTTATATGTATTTAGTGTGCATGCAAAAATCTATTTAAAAATAAAAAAGATGGCTGATAGTTTATGGGCAATATAGTTTACAGTTCAGAGAGGTTGAAGGATAAAGAGTTCTGGGGAAGAGTCAATACAACTGATGATCAGAAGAAAAAAAGAGTGCAAACTACTGAAGGACAGCCTACAATTGCATAGACAAAAACATATATTTTTAAGTAAAGCAAGATATGGGATTTTTGTGATATCTGTGACATGCAAGAGCTAATAAATGAGCCATACATTTTCTGTAATAGGTTATGTTCACATAACTGACAACCCACTTGTTGTTTAAGCATCAAAATGGGAAAAGGGACACATAAGCTTACTCAATAAGCAGTGTAAGGTCCTAAGTGACACCACAATCCAGGGCAACCAACCTGGCTTCACTTTACTGAAGTCACGCCAGTACAAGATGGACTTTGGTTTGTATGGCTACTCTAATTTTCTCCTAGCACTGTACTGCTTCTGTATACTGTTTTATTAAACAGGTTTATAAAAGTACTGTAAGACGTGCTAGAAGTCTTTATGCAAGGATGAATCTGTTGTGTATGTGAAGGCTGGGCTCAATAGACTTAACACCTTTTAGAGAAAAGTGTTCTGCACTATTTTTCTTTACTGATGATCAGCTACTCTCAATTTTAGGTACTTTCTATACAAGGAATGCACCCTTGCCTAAGCGCTGCCTAACAAATCTCACTTCCTCTTCTTTTCTTCCATATTGATATATGCCTGGTAGGCAGCTGTAGAGTGTTTTCACAAAGACTGTCAATTGACCAAATATTTCCCTTTAGGAGTCTGACAACACATGCATACCATGGCTTGCAATAGGGCACTGTCAAAGCTATAGATGAAACAGAAAATATAATCCTCCCTGCTCAGCCCCTTTTTGCCTAATTTCAGCTGCCAGTACAGGTACAACTTCTGTCATCCTTATTTAAGATTTTTACATTTCAGTTCTATTTCTTCTCTTTAAGAGACACAATTCTGTCAATCATGCACAGTTAGTCCCTATGCTCTACACCAGAATGACCTATCCACCTGCATTTGAATGATGTGAATAAATGATTGATTCATTAGCAGTCCCGTTCTGCTCCTGCACCCACAGTGTAGCGACAGAATTACTTCCTAAAGGTATCCATATCTTACCGTTGCATTGACCTGAAGTTGATAAGCCTGAGTGGTCTCATAATCAAGTCCCTGGATCACAGTCACAATGCCCCGGGTCTTGTCTATCGAAAAAAAAGCAGAAGGAGGCTGGACAGAGTAGAGCACGCTTCCACCTGTTCCCTGATCGGGGTCCGTTGCATTCACAATATAAATTGGAGTTCCCACCGGTGTATTCTGGAACAGCAAAAAACATACCATAAGATTAACAGATGGAAATTTACTAATCCACTCAGAAGCAAAGACAAATAAACTGACCCTGTTACTTTGTAATGTAAGCTGAAATGTTTTATTACTCAGTTGGCAGCAAATCACCTAATTTTGTTTACACTCCACACTGCAAATAAGCACAGTTGCCAGGGATACTATTTTGCTGTAGTGTTGTGGAGAATACGTTATTAGAAAAATGAATATACCCATTTACCTTTGAAAACAACTATAATTAGTGTCAGTCCCAGTTTCACATAGGTGCTGGTTTGGGAATAATTACATCTTTACATTTGTAAATGCAGATTTTTTTTTCTAGGTAAAACAATTAAAGGCAGCAACAGTGGGAATCTAATAAAGCACCACAGTCTGAACAAACTTCATTAAAAAAGACCTTACATACATAATGTAAAACTCTAATAATATTTCAACCCAAGTAAAAGATTTCATGCAGCTTGCAGTTACACATGTCTTCCGTAACAAATGTCAGCTACAAAAATACTCCATGGTAGGAGATATGAAACTTTGCAGAATGCTCCAGTGGTTCCTTGGATAAGTGCCATGGTAAGAAATATGAAACTTTGCAAAATCATCCAGTGGCTCCCTATGTAATAAGTACCCTGGTAGGAGATATGAAACTTTGCAGAATGCTCCATTGGTTCCCTATGTAATAAGTACTATGGTAAGAGAGAAAGAGAGATAAAACTGCAGACTACTCCAGTGCTTCCATATGTAATAAGTTCCATGATAGGAGATATGAAACTTTTCAGAATGCTCCATTGGTACCCTATGTAATAAAAAATGAAGAGTGCGCCTCCATCGTGTAAAACTTTTTAATGCAACAGAATAAAAACAGCTGGAATCGTACTCACAAACGGAGGGTTTGAGCAGACATAAAATTTGTGTGTAGCAGACTTGGCCAGCCGGCTGTCTTTCCTGGTTGATGCGTTTCAGTGGACACGCCTCCTTCATCAGAACCAATCATTGGTGCTACACACGAATGTTATGTCTGCTTAAACCCTAGGTTTGTGAATACGATTCCAGCTGTTTTTATTCTGTTGCATTAAAAAGTTTTACACGATGGAGGTGAGCTCTTCATTTTTTATTACATAGGGTACCAATGAAGCATTCTGCAAAGTTTCATATTCCACTGATGATGATTTTTTCTCTGAGTCACGGTGCAGGCGCTTGTGATGTGTCTGTTCCCTATGTAATAAGTACTATGGTAAAGGGTAAGAGATATAAAACTGCAGACTACTCCAGTGCTTCCATATGTAATAAGTTCCATGGTAGGAGATATGAAAGTTTGCAGAATGCTCCATTGGTTCCCTATGTAATAAATACCATGGTCGGAGATAGGAAACCTTGCAGAATGCTCCATTAAATTCCTATGTTATAATTATAGTAAGAGATATGAAACTGTGTGCCCTATGAGTATCCAGAGTCTGTCTTGGATGCTGGGATGCATGGTCTTTTAAAAGAAATTGGTTTGGTCACTTGATTGATGTCACAAAAAGTTACATTTATGGGAAGCAATGGTTTTGATAAATAAAATGCAATTGACAGTTTTCAGCTGTTTTATTATGAGTATGAGCTCTCATTTTCTGCTTGTTGATCAGGACTGCAGCTCTTAGAACTGAATTACATAAAGTATTTCTCAGGAGGGTGAAAATGCTCAGCTAAGCCTCTGCAGGTAGCTTTTTGGCATATAATCCAATAAAATCCTTGTCTGACAGCATGGAAATAGATTATACTGTAAGAAATGTAACAGAAGTGGGTTTGGTTTAAATGCCATTCTTCCAAATGGATGAACAAAACAAGCAGCACAGTAAAAAGAGAAAGACTTAAAGCTAAAGTTTACCTTTAAAAAATAATAAATACACACATATTCATAAAAGAAAAATATGCATTTATAATTTGTTTTACGGTCATTTAGTAACAGGGACGGGAAGTCTATTCCTTTAAAAACTACAAGTCCTTGTCAAAGTATCTCTGAATGGATGATGTAGCTGTGGGTGTGGAGATTAAAAAAACAGCAACAGCCTACGGAGAAGAGTCCTGCAATTCAGTTAAGTGTGTGTGGGGTGGCAGGATGGGGGATACCTCACTACAAGCAAAGCAATACTCACTGCCTGCGCATACAACACCACCTAGGGAGGGGACATGCCTAAGCCTATGCATATATCAAGTTTATTTGTAGTAGTGGTTTATAGTAGCAAGGTGACAAATTAAAGGTATGCTAAGGCTCCCTTTGGTGCCTTATATGCATCACTGGCCTCACTTTATATTTAGGTTTAACATGAAACACTCTATATTCCTTCACTTTCTGTAGAATGTTTTCTGAGAGGAGGCTGCAAATGAGCATGATGTTTCAGAACCATGGACAGCAGCATACACAAAAAAAGCAACTAAATAATCATTTAAAATGGTGAAACCTGTCCTGTGGCCTCACCAATAATGCAATGCAGGTTTTGTGGATTTGCTCCCAGAAATATATATTGATCAATGTCCATATAAGTGGCTACAACTCACTGTGCTATCAGAAGAACAGGCTTGAGCACCTATGCATTACACAAGGGGTCAGCAACCTTTTTCACAGCAACTGTCTATATTTACAAGATATAGGCAACTGGCTTTCTGGTGAACAACACTACATGTAATCATGGTTTTCTATTTATGAACTAATAGTGGTACTACTAATGGCATGTTAAACTCAATAATTATCATACATTTATTAATGAGTTTACATTGACATTAGCAGAACTATGGTTTCAAAAATTGCTTAAGGTGCACACAAAGCATGTTCCTATTTACATGTGCTAAAAAATCAGCCACAATGTCTGCACCTTCAGACCTCGGATTAACCCCAATGTCTGCACCCTCAGACCTCTTCAATCAGCTTCAATCCAGTGACTTTAGATCTCAGGTCAGTTTGTAGTGTATGTCACTAATAAACCATTTCCTACAGCTGACAGCCATTTTATATGGCCAATATATGTTGATATCAGACATACTTTTTTAGTCATGGGAATGCACATAAAGCTTATACATAACCAATAAAAACATTAAAAAAATTATCAGTACTATAATCATGGTACTAGTGTGGGCCCGCGGGAGCTGTCAACTATAATCAATGACGTCTTGTGCCAGCAAAGAAGACATCATATGCCAGCCCAGGCACACATATTGGGGGTTGCCAACCCCTGCTTTAAACTATGCACTTTATCTGTGTTATTTTCTCAAATGGTATCAATCAAATAGTAAACATTTAAAACAAAGTAAAATGTGCTAAGCTAGAAGCAGAAACATGAGAAATTATCATGAGCTTTTAATGTCAAGAATATGAGAAATTTAATTTTACATCAATAAAGATACACTCATGTTGCTTCCTAGTTTAAACATTTATATCTCTTGGTTACTAGGCAATGTCCAAGCACAATGAGAACTGGCTGTTCCTAATCTTTTTTGGCTCTGACATTTTCTCTTTGTGCAGTCAAGCAGATACAAACTCATACCACATGTACCTACAGTAATTTGGTAAAGAGTAGGGAGTAGCTTGAAAAGTCAAACTTCATGAATCATTAATTAAGAGTATAATAGACTTGTATTCTAATCTGTTCATATATAACTAAAGTGAAGATGACATTAGGAATTAGATCATATTTGGGCCAGTGTACAAATGCTTTTAAGATCAATTTAGGTCAGCTCGTGCTTTATTTTCATGTCTCCTTACAAGCCAAAGTGAATGCAAAAATGCAATGCTTTTTTTTAAAATAACTTTGCATATAAATTGATGACTATTAGGGCAGAAGAAACATGTAGAAGAGTGTGAACTGACAACATATTATAACCCACCTGACATAACTTTCAATTTACAGACCTCAGTAAGTATGGGGCTTATTAAAACAGGTGTTTGGTGTTGGTTTTGGCCTGACAAGTTTTTTTTATTTTGGTTTCAATCTAAAAATTTCACTTTGGTGCATCCCTAATTTAAACCCAGTGTAGCTCACAACTCCCTGCCTGAGCAACACTTTTCTAAGCTAGACGCTGAGCCCCCTGTTTACTGGTGAAGCTGAATTCTTTGAAATGTATCTGTGTACCAACCTTTGGCTTGTCCCTGGAAAGCTTCATCTTCACCCTGTCTTGACCTTTGGCTTCTCTCTTGAAATCCTAGTCTTCAGTCTGGCGCTAACCTTTGGCTTGTCCCTGAAAATCCTATATTTCAGCCTGCCCCTGATCTTCGATTTGTCTCCTGTTATCCGTGTCTTCAGCCCCGTCCGGAACTCTGGCAATGTCAACCTTTGTTGGCTGTTAGCGGAGTTGGATAACCTGGGGGCTGCGACCTGGGATCAACATGCAGCCTAATATGTCCACCATGTGGAGCTCTGGGGAAGACTGGCTGGCCCTTAGACCCCGTGCCCTGGGGGATCCCACGCTACCTACTCAGCACTGCGGCACTGTGAGTCCTGATTGAGACATTCAGCCTTAATTCAGGCTACAAAATGCAGTTTTTCACGATTTGCTTACAGTTGGGCAAAAAATTATTTAGTCAGCCACCAATTGTGCAAGTTCTCCCACTTAAAAAGATGAGAGAGGCCTGTAATTGGCATCATAGGTAGACCTCAACTATGAGAGACAAAATGAGAAAACAAATCCAGACAAATCACATTGGCTGATTTGGAACAAATTTATTTGCAAATTATGGTGGAAAATAAGTATTTGGTCAATATCAAAAGGTCATCTCAATACTTTGTTATATATCCTTTGTTGGCAATGACAGAGGTCAAACGTGTCCTGTATGTCTTCACAAGGTTGGCACACACTGTTGCTGGTATGTTGGCCCATTCCTCCATGCAGATCTCCTCTAGAGCAGTGATGTTTTGGGGCTGTCGCTGGGCAACACGGACTTTCAACTCCCTCCAAAGGTTTTCTATGGGGTTGAGATCTGGAGACTGGCTAGGCCACTCCAG